TATATATATATATATATATATATATATATATATATATATATATATATATATATATATATATATATTCAATTATCCGAAACGTACAAAGTGCAACTTTATATCTTCAAATGTATTAATATAATGAACAACAGATCCGATCAAGTACGCAAAAATAACAGAGAAAGTTATATAAAGAAATATAATAGTAAATTAATTCATCATATTAACATCACAATTTCTCCAATATGAAATAGGATATGCAATATTAGAACATTTTAATAATCTTAGTTTAGGTATACATATAATTAATATTAACCCTCTATTATTCAAGATTATCAGTACTACGCTCATAATTTTAGGGAATGGCAATGATGAAAGCGAATCTATAATTTTAATTAATCTACAATGAAACAAATGTTACAAAAGAGTTCAGACGAAACATATAATATTGTTTTTATTTAATCACGGATAATTACCTAATTGTAACATAATCGTGCTGAAATTCGAAATTCATGACAGTCTATGAAGGTAGCAATAGAGTGAAATCTGCTATCATTTCATAAGAAAATTCAATCGCTGCGAAAATTGATCTGTGTCCAGTGTCAGAAATGTTATTGGAGATATACAGTTGACATAACCTCCGAATTTAGAAAGAACAAATATTTTTATAAAAAATGGGAGATCCTGAGAGGGGAAAGACATTATTCGTGAGAATGTGCTCAATGTGTCACACGCCTAATCAAGGTGGTGCTAGCAAACTAGGTCCAAATTTATTTGGCGTAGTTGGCAAAGTTTCTGGTAGTACGTATATTTATCATAATTTTACAATAAATGCTCTACTAATTTTGGTGAGACGAAGACAAATGTTCAGATAAAAGTCGAATAGAAAATTGAGAATATGCCACTGAAAGTAATTTTGGGTAGCAGTAACTTGTGGCAAGAGGAAAATTAATAATCGATCGAGTAATAACAGAAAATTTATCATTTTTTGTCTTTAATCTAGCCAATACCAATTTCAAATATACGCAGCAAATGAAGGACAAGGCCGTTACATGGGACCAGACATCATTAGATGCGTATTTGGAGTTCCCCAAACAATTTGTTCCTGGCACAAGAATGGTATTTAATGGTATTAGAAAGCCGGATGATCGAAAAGATATAATAGCTTATTTATACACATTGAAATAAATGCGTTCCCCTCGTGAATTATGTTGTACAGTGTGGAATATACATATACTCGCGAAGTAATATGTAGTAGTAATCTCATAGCTTTAAAATAATAAAAGCTCTATGTCATTGTATTCTCCTGCAAATATGTTACTATATTAATAATGATAAACTTTATCTCAATATACAAAATTTGATGATTTCGAGAACAAATTTTGGTGAATTGATTGTCCACGACAGGTGACAACTTTTCTAAAAAATGACGTCAAATTTCTTTAAATACACATAAATGTTCTTGACTAGATTAAATTTATTTATATATATGTATATTTATTAAGATTGACAAAAATTAAGAACGTTGATTTATTAATTTTGAACTTGTTAAAATTATTTAAGGTAGAAAAGGAATCTCAGTCAGTTTATATGTTATGCAACTGGTGCAGACGATTTGTATTTTGTAATCAGCTCCGCTATTGAATTTTATTATTATTCATGCTACTTGTCTATAACACATAAGTTAAATCACATTTAATCTTCTCTTAAACGTTGTCTAATATACATAGACGTTCCTCAATAGAGATGCATTAATATTAACTGGAATTGTTCTTATGAAATTATGTGAAAGTGACGACATGAATACAAACGTTACTTATTCAATAGTTGGTATATATTGGTAACTATACCAATAGTTGGTATATTTACCTGGACATCTTGATGAATACCGAGCACGCATAGAACAAAGCTGGAACCAGCAGCAGTGGTATCGTGCCCCTAAAAATCATTACATGCAGTCAGAAATTATATTTGAGTAGTTGCAAGTTCTAACAAAAAATTTTCAATTTAATTTTGAAGGTATCTATAGAAAGCAAATTCGTCCTAAATGACTTGAAATTAATTATTTACAGATGTACTATAAATACACTTTCATTATCTTACAACTAAATTGCTGGTCTTTAAGCGAAATGAAAAATTTCTATATTAATTGCAAGTAGTAGAAACCAAATAAATAGTTATCTTTCCTTTTTTAATTAACTTTAATTGGCTGGAACTAGTACTTTGGCATTCTTCTTTTCATTTAACTGTGTTATCATTTTAAATTGCACATACACAATTTCGTCGTATATGTATAAAATTCACAATCTAATTACAACTTGAAGCTAATGTAGCAGATAATCGTATATGAATTCGCTAAAGAAAAAGTTACTACAAATGACCTCATTACCCGGAAGTGCCATAATTTTGGGACACCCTGTATATTCCCATGTCTACTTACATTTACGATATTATAAAGTTGCAGCAAATTGTAAAAGTCTCTCATAGAATACGATTGTATGAATTGACTCAAGCATACATTACAATAAATTAATAAATCTGAATAAATAGTCTTATCATTCTTGTAAAGCAACACACGTTAGTTACTGTTAGGATTCGATAGGTGTAATCTTAATTTTTGAGTATAAAATCAAGTTACCTCAAACATTATAGTGTCTACCTCCTCCTTAATTTCCTGGTCAGTTAACGGTGCGCCAGTTTTTCTAATCTCCAGTAGAAGATCCAAGAAGGCGTATCTCTTCTTCTCACCGACGTCATTCTCGTCGATTTCGTCGAGATCGTCCCTGACGTAGTGTAGTTTTGTAGTTTCTTCCTTCTTGATGCCGCCGGATTTATCTTCCTGCTTGATTTCATTCAAATTTGCATTTTGGTTCGACTTTGTAGTGTCTTCAATTTCTGAGCAGACTTTTTTATAAGCTGCTTCCTTCTTCTTCCGAATAACAGTCGACGTTAAATTGTGGATGATACCGAGTTGCTCTTTTTGTATTTCCGAAAACTTTGATAAATTGAAGAGCGTGTCGAATCGCAGATTCGCATTGTACTGGCGACGGTGAATTATATCACACATGCTATTTTAATTACAAAATATAGCAAACAGTTAATGAAAATTGTTTGGCAAATTGTTACGTTCTTTAGCGAAGTATTTTAAATTAAAGATGAGATATTCAATGAAAAGAAACAATTTTCTATATAATTATGATATTGACAAATATTTAAAATATTGTCTTCTAAGATCATCTAAAATCTTTTATATTTATATTCCATGCATCTTACAATGTATCATTTAATTACATAAGATTGTTTTTAATTTAAGAAAGAATTAAGCGAAAGACATTGTCATATTTAAAATATTAACAATCATATATTAGTCGGATCAATTTGATCCAATTATAATATGTACCATTGTTTCAATTACGGTTTTTTAAATATTTTATCAATTACAATAAAATATTGCAAAATATGTTGTTATTGATATTTAAAATTGTGAATATTAAAAACATGACAATGTTTTTAGCTTGATTTTTTCTTTAAACTGAGGACAATCTTAGATAATTAAATGATAAATTGTAAAATATATAAAATAGAAGTAGAAATTTTGAAGAGAATAATTAAAAAATTGTAAATCTTACTTCATCACAGCCACGGCGTATTCATATCCAGATTTCTGTTTCTCAGACTCCCTTAGTCCCATCGCTGTCTCCAATAAAATATCAACTGTCACTGCTCCCATATAGTCGTGACAATCGAATTCTTTCCCCACTATATCGCGTAAACGAATCACTAAGTCTTTGCTGTTTTCGTAGAACAATGGAACAAATGATTTTAACACGTTCAGATGGAAAGTTGGTGCTATGATCTTCCTGTGCGTTCTCCATTTTTCACCTGAACTGATCAACAGTCCATCTCCCAGCCATGGCTTGAAGAACCTGTAGTGTGTTCGTAAACGCGAAACATTAAATTTTTTCCCAACGTTTCTATTAAATTATTATTTCTATTAATCGTTGTAAAATTGTGTGCTTTGAAAACGAGTTGTTTGACGAATAAATATAGAACATGGTAATCAAAACAGTACATGTAATTTTTAATTTTCCGTTTCCATGTGTCGTCTACAAATTTCAGATATATGGTGTTAACTATTTCTATAAAAAATTTGTCTCCCAAGTTATTCTGCTTTGAGAAACACTTCAATTGTGCTGCAAATATTTTTCATAACATTAACAACAACGAAAATATTTGGTTAACCTAATATAGCTGGAGCACTCTGTATATTTCATACTTTCACGTAGTTTCTTGTGTTACATATGTACACATTCAATTATTTTGCTGGGCTCGTAACAATTTCTATATATGTCTGTACTCACGGTCTCGTCCATTAAACACTTCCTGCAGTTTCTTGTAACTACAACATTACATTACATTGCTGTGACGAATCCTTTTGTTTCTAGGATAAGTACCCTGCCGTGAGCCATTTATATGAAAGCACTTTGTCTATGTTTCAGTCTTGTACAGTACCATAACGCTTGCCATGTAGCGCTTTCTTAAACCGTATTCCCTTTATCTCTTCTATTCACAGTTAACATATGTCGTTCTGTATGATTTCGTGTTTTAATTTGCGCAGTACACACTGTATTGTTTGTCTTATTTGATGACAGCTCGGTGAAGAGCCAATGTTACTTTACTATGGAAATATTTAGCACAGTGTCCTTTTTATAATATCTAACGAAATATTTGATCATACCAGGAGGATATCTCCAACGGACATGACGACTTTTAATTACACTGAATACATAATTATTTTCAACTATTTTGCACAAGAAGTTCCCATATCCTCATCAAAACATGTCTAATTGGCGTTCAAGTCGATAAAACACAGAATCACTTCGTATCAAAAACTACACAATTACCTGTATTCTGGAGCTTTGTTGATATGAACCGTGCTGCTTAGAATAACTTCAACGTCGCGAGGATGATATATGGCAACCACAACTTTCCGACCAAGGAAAGCGCGAACGACAGGTCCGTAGACATTATTTTTTATCAGCGTGCCCATCATGTCATCCGGGTGCACACCGAGAGTAATTAATGCATTTCCTAATATTGGAATTGGTTTCGGACCTAGATAACAAATAGAACAAGTCACGAACGAAACAATGATTGCTAGTTTAAACTAATAAATGCATCAATTAGATTGAGACAGTTTTACGTACCTGGTAACTTATGGGCTAACCGAACTGCCCGTGAACTTTCGATATAGAAGTAAATGGTGAACAAGATCGTAGTGATAGCAACCAGTGAATAGAGAACTGCTGATTGAAAATAGGACGTTGTCAATATTGCGGCCTCCATTTTGAATTTTTTCCTGAAGAACTGTAAAATTAATAAAGAAGTCCTAAATAATGTCTCTGAAGTAGTATACCAACTAAATTTGCACAGATACCATCCAAATATGGGTGATATATTTTAATACTTTAATTTATTAAACGTTTCTATCGGACAAATTGTTGAAATCCTAAAATATTAAATAAATAAAAGATTGTCGGAATTCAATCCCTGGTGAAAAATATTCAATCACCTTTTAAAACGCAATAAATGAAACCATTCAAAATTTGTTGAATCTCCACTAAATGACTTTAATCTTTTCTAAATGCCACAGCGACTGGTTTACCGTACAATTACTGAAATGCTTTTTTTTAATTTTGCTATTGTTTGGAATGACAAAAAAGAAAGTAAAGAAGTCTCGTCACTGAAGAATGTAAAAATTATCTATTTCTGGTTGAAATTCTTTAAAAAACTATGATTTTCACGATCTTTAATTGCCTGTAATTCAGTGAGCATATAAGTAACCAATATCCACAAGACGCATTTTTTGAATTGTTGTTATAGGCTCAGATAATAATATCGAAGGAACATGTTTTTTCACATTTTTGTCATTCCAAGTAATAGCACAATTAAGAATAAATATCTCAGCCACCGTACAGTAAACTAATCCCTTCAACATTAAAAAAAATTCAAATGATTTAATCCAGTTTTCAAAAAGAGTTCCTGTTTTTAAAAGCTGTTCGAATTCTTCTTGCCAGGAATAGTGTGTTAAGACGATTAAATTTTAGTCTGTTTCAAATATATATATATTATATAATCGCATTGAACCAAAATTATTTTACGCAACGCGACGGAATGGCTGAAAATTATTTGTAAATATTAACGACGAATTATTTACGTCAAATGTTTTTCGGACACAAGAGAATGAAGTAACTTCACTTCGCGAATGAAAACGATCGCGATTTAGCGATAATAAAATGAAACGGGAGAAAGTATTGTATTCTAGATACCTTTTTGCGTGGACAAGGCTCGTGTCCACAAAACGTGATCCGTTGACAGGCCTGTCTTTTTATATACTCGATTGTCCGTACGCATGGTCGATATAAAATGCACGAAAAATAAAAATTTCCATTCGTTGAAATTAATTATACGATGACCTTACGTTTTCCTCTCAAAATTTGCTTTACAAATTTTTGTTGCCACACAGGCATTAATATCGGGTTTAACATCATTTTATGTTCGAAGAAAGTGAATATGTGCTGACTTAAGAGAGGAATCACATTTCTCGACAATTGTAAATATATAGCGAAGTTCAGGGATTTTTTTAAAAAACTAACGATTTTATGTTGGTTTGATTGATCTCTCGAAAAGTTACGATTTATTTTTAAATTAATGTTTAATAATGAATATATTATGAATGATTGATCATTTTACTCCGGAAAATGTATAGTCCGCGAAAATCTAAAAATGAAACAGCCGACTTCTTTATACAATGCAGTGAGTTATTACTTGACTGCGGAAGTTTATGCACTTTAAATCTAAATGGCAGTCGAAATGTTAGTATTCAAGAATTTGCATGGAATCGTACGAAGATCGTGCTGATCCAAACAGAAATTGAGTATTGTGATCATAAATAACGGTATTTGAGCTTATTTGACTGAATCTTTCAATGATGGAACGGCCTCTCCGCCTGAAATCTGTTCATATTCCTTACCAGTACGCAGGAACCGGATTTGCTGCAGACGTTTATGTATGCGAAATTATACGAGGTCTAATCTGGTTCAAAGGGACGGAATAAAGTAATTTGACCAAGTATCTCAAGATCGAGACCTGCTAGACCTTGCAATACCATAATAAGAATAATCAAGTTCCATAAAACGTATTTCAGAAGATACCACTTATAAATATACTGCTTCAGAGGAAATTGCATCCGGGCACGTGGATCAGACACCTGCTGTATTTTTCGTGAACGCACGCATATTTAGACAAATAAATATAAACATACACAAGATGGAGCAATAACTTTTATCACCTTGAATACCTCTGTTATAAACAAATCCTGAACGATACAGAGAGGGACATATTGCGATACGAACATTTTTCGAGTGGATAGATATATAGAGCAAATTTCAAGGTCATCTTTATTCTTTTCTTTTTAATGGAGTGCTATAGTTTTTATCGCGATATGATAGCGAGTGTTGAAACAAATAGAATAACCTATTATAATGGTCATTCAAAGTCAAATGTGGTGGCAAGACGAAGTTTCATACGTTACAACAGAAGTTGTTCGAATGCAAAGTTGCAACCTATCTTATCATCTCTGAACTTATGGAATATTAGGCTTAGACAAAAAAGCTGATAAAACGTCATTTTATATTTTTGTAATCATACCAATCAATTGAAATCTAGAACAGTTTTTGTTTGCTCATTCTCTAACAAACTAGTCGGTCTAACATCTCAAAAATATACAAGTAATGTGGTCCAATTTTGAAATTTTAATCATATACACACACGCGCGCGCGACACGTAACCTATAGTTCTTATTTACATGCTCGCCACTTTATGCATAACGTTCCTATTATGTAGTTGATACTGGACCGAATATACAACAAATACAGATAATAATTAGTGGCTTTTCGTTACAGATAATAAAAATGAAAATTTGTCATACACCTTTTTAGGAGTCTAAATCGATGTTGTAACAGTTTCCAAAGCCTTGGTTCGAATTGATTAGAACATATCTAAATGAATTACAACAGTGTACGTTGTAAAGGATGAATAGACAAAAAGACGGTTATAACGATCCCTTGTTGATCGCTGAGGTGGAAACCAGTACTTCCGGAAATGACGTAGCAACCTGTTTCACCCCCTGCATAGAACGCATCAGGAAATCAGCCCTCGAGGATATTAAAAAAGTAACGGTGAGGGACAAGCAGACAGACAGACATACACACAGAAAGAGAGAGAGAGAGAGAGGGAGGGAGGGAGAGAAAGAGAGAGAGAGAGAGAGAGAGAGAGAGAGAGTTTGAGGAGAGGGGAAGAGGGAGAGTAAAGTTCCCCATTCTAGTGAGACCAATTTCATGAAATTACGAAATTATCGATGCTAAATCGACCACCCTTTGTTATTTACGCATACTTCCTGGCAGACTCGATTATTCATGGAAGACGAACACGCAACGTTAAGAATGATCTTACAGTTTATCAAGGCATATTATCTTATTTATTATTTAACTGTAAGTATTACATAGTTCGTGTATTTATGACTACTATATAAATGAGTGTTTGAACGTTTAAAACAATGGAATTACAATCATATGAATTAATTCGAATGTACACGTTCGAATAATATAGTTTTATTGAATAATTAATATTAGTTTTATTGAACCTGTGATACGATTTGGATGAACAATAGAAATAGATTGTTTAATATAATTCAAACTGTGTCATGATTGAAAATATTTATATCAAGCTATTGTTTTTCATTACTGTTCATTCAAACAGAAAATTTGATTGTGCTTCCTAACACATCAATTTTCATTGAACAGTTAGGTTCCGTCAAAATACGATATCCGAACACTCAATTTTACTTGCAAAGCCAGAAATATTCCACACATTTTAATATTTGGGTAGACAATGGATGCAAAGTACATTGTATGTTTACCGAGAGCTTCCATGATCACGACTTTAACTGTGAACGATACTGAATGGATACTTTTTACTATTGAACATATAAACTTTACGCAAAACACGCAATATTTCAAACCATCACGGTTTTATTCAATCTTTTTAATTCGTGAATTATCATGACGTGACTGCGAATTTTAAGTCATTATGATGAAAATGAGTGGCTGAGATACGAAACTAAGAAAACATTTAAAGGATTTACAAATACGTTACGCTCATATTAATAATATACCAATCATTAAAAAAGGAAATACATTTTCATTTTACTTCTGTTTTCTTTTGCAATTAATTTAGAACATTTTTATTTTACATAAAAATTTGCAGTTCCTAGTAAAGGAATTAAATGTAATTTACTTCCTTACAAATTAATGTCTAAAGTTATGAATTGGTATAAACATTTTAAGTATATTTATAATAATGGAATCTGCATATAATAACGTAACTTGTATCACTTCGAGTGTTTGATTTTCAAATTCACTTAAATCGTGAATTCAATTAAATACTTTTTATAAACGTTGATAACATTCCTTTCAAACGTAATAAACATTTAACTTTATCAACATCGGACTCCATTTATTTTACGTTCCAAGTTCGTGAAATATTTTCGCGAGCAGTAACTGGATTAAGATAACGAAATTCATGGAAGATCTTTGCTCTTAATTACCATCGGGACCGTAACTCGTGGGAGAGAGGCCTTAATTCACTGAAAAACTGCGGTCATAAAATATGTTCACAGAGGTGAACAACTTGCTGCTAAAATAACCNGAAAGAGAGAGAGAGAGAGAGGGAGGGAGGGAGAGAAAGAGAGAGAGAGAGAGAGAGAGAGAGAGAGAGTTTGAGGAGAGGGGAAGAGGGAGAGTAAAGTTCCCCATTCTAGTGAGACCAATTTCATGAAATTACGAAATTATCGATGCTAAATCGACCACCCTTTGTTATTTACGCATACTTCCTGGCAGACTCGATTATTCATGGAAGACGAACACGCAACGTTAAGAATGATCTTACAGTTTATCAAGGCATATTATCTTATTTATTATTTAACTGTAAGTATTACATAGTTCGTGTATTTATGACTACTATATAAATGAGTGTTTGAACGTTTAAAACAATGGAATTACAATCATATGAATTAATTCGAATGTACACGTTCGAATAATATAGTTTTATTGAATAATTAATATTAGTTTTATTGAACCTGTGATACGATTTGGATGAACAATAGAAATAGATTGTTTAATATAATTCAAACTGTGTCATGATTGAAAATATTTATATCAAGCTATTGTTTTTCATTACTGTTCATTCAAACAGAAAATTTGATTGTGCTTCCTAACACATCAATTTTCATTGAACAGTTAGGTTCCGTCAAAATACGATATCCGAACACTCAATTTTACTTGCAAAGCCAGAAATATTCCACACATTTTAATATTTGGGTAGACAATGGATGCAAAGTACATTGTATGTTTACCGAGAGCTTCCATGATCACGACTTTAACTGTGAACGATACTGAATGGATACTTTTTACTATTGAACATATAAACTTTACGCAAAACACGCAATATTTCAAACCATCACGGTTTTATTCAATCTTTTTAATTCGTGAATTATCATGACGTGACTGCGAATTTTAAGTCATTATGATGAAAATGAGTGGCTGAGATACGAAACTAAGAAAACATTTAAAGGATTTACAAATACGTTACGCTCATATTAATAATATACCAATCATTAAAAAAGGAAATACATTTTCATTTTACTTCTGTTTTCTTTTGCAATTAATTTAGAACATTTTTATTTTACATAAAAATTTGCAGTTCCTAGTAAAGGAATTAAATGTAATTTACTTCCTTACAAATTAATGTCTAAAGTTATGAATTGGTATAAACATTTTAAGTATATTTATAATAATGGAATCTGCATATAATAACGTAACTTGTATCACTTCGAGTGTTTGATTTTCAAATTCACTTAAATCGTGAATTCAATTAAATACTTTTTATAAACGTTGATAACATTCCTTTCAAACGTAATAAACATTTAACTTTATCAACATCGGACTCCATTTATTTTACGTTCCAAGTTCGTGAAATATTTTCGCGAGCAGTAACTGGATTAAGATAACGAAATTCATGGAAGATCTTTGCTCTTAATTACCATCGGGACCGTAACTCGTGGGAGAGAGGCCTTAATTCACTGAAAAACTGCGGTCATAAAATATGTTCACAGAGGTGAACAACTTGCTGCTAAAATAACCTGTAATAAATGGAAAATAAAAATGAAATTTTAATTAGACTCGGTATATTAATTGTATACTTCAAGAAATACCGTTTAAATGACAATATAAACAATTTAAATGACAATATAAATAAGAAACAAATAAATAATTTAACAAATTCTCCTGTATTTACTTTCGTTTATTTAAAGCACACAGAATCGATAGAACATTGAACACAATTTTACTGATATACTGCTATTTTGTAATCTGTATAACGCAACATTTTACAATTAAAACAAAATTATATGTAAATAATATATAATAATAGAAATAGAATAACGTTATACTCACACAAGTGGCGCAAATAATTATTCTTATACACTAAAAGTAAATTGACTCTTTAATTCTCACATAACTCACAACTTGATATTGATCATTTTTTATGATAATCAATTGTACAGAATATTACAAAATTATATGTCGGGGAAAATATCATAACGAATGCTAAATATTTTGAAATTTTAGGATATTATAAATGAATAAGAACGAGGTCGTATAAATAATAAAATGTATTTTAAATATTTCATAAAAAGTGTTACAGATGTTTATAAGTAAAAAATGCTTATTATAGACTTAATCAAGGCACTTGTATTTACAGAGTTCTACTCATTGTACTGTTTTGCATATCGAATAATTTACGATGTTTCGTTTCCGTTATCGCGTCAACTTATAATTAAGTCGGAGGCACGTCGGCATGACGTTGTTTAACGTTAATTCTTGTTTAATTAAATAAAGATTCATCAAGTACTTCGTGCTAACGCAAAATCTAATTGACATCGTCGAAATTAAATGGCAATAAAAATGATACGATGTACAAATAGGTATAAGGTAATAGCTTAAAATAATCAGCAAATCGACGCATGATTTATAACAATATTATACAGATTAAGTAAGTCGTTTCGTTTTACGTATGTACTGTTAATACTGAACTAATGAGAAGTAGACATTTGCACAAGTAGCTCGGTTTAATTTTATCCGTAACATTGTAGATGACACATTGACAGCCATGATATTCATGAGCAGTTGACACTAACGCCAAATAATTAAATTTATTCGTGTTAAACAATTACCTATAACTCTGAAAGCTCATCGTAATTTTGGAAGAGTAATTCTAAAAATATGGTTTTCTGAAATATTGGCGATCGACATATTAATTAAATGCTCTGAAGTACAAACTGATTTTCCTTGGCATGCGAATTTGATTCTTCAAACGTGTCGCTTTCACATGTACATATCAAACTTTCAACAGTTTAAGAATGTAATTGGAAAAAAACTAGACGAAAATTCGGAACTATCTACCTATGTTAATAAATACTTCGTTACGCTGTACGAATTATTTTCATAAAGAAGTGTACTATTCTGGTTTGAAATATATAAGCTGCGTCGTATACGTGTGTGACAAACATTATGATAATATTAATATAATGTAAAAAATAATACTATATTTATATAAATATGAAATTTCTAATATTAACGAATTGATAATGTTCGAAGTTGTCGGAATTGTTTGAAAAATGGTTAGTTAAAACTGTTGAAATATTTCAGTGAGCTGTTTAAATAACATGAGATATTGCTATTAAGTATTCCGAGACACAACAGGTCTATCACCTTCCTTTATTTTTAACGATGATGTAAATGGCAGTAACGATAAGATATTTATATATGCAACGAGTTCTATTTGTTACTTCCTTATTATACTGTGTAAGATAGTTAAAGAATACAACATCGTAGCAATCACGCCAACTTTATGATTAAACATGAAATCTGTGATTCCGCATAGACTGATGCAGAACGGAAGATGTCACGAGTTAAAAGTTCTTCCGCGTTTTTATTCAAGTTCTTGCGAATTATTTAATTATGACATGTAAAATAAGTAAAATGTGTTCGACTTTGTAACGAACGTTTGTATGATTTATGCTCGCTAAAGACATTCTGAAAATGTACAAACTGACTAGAATTGTAAAATTTTCTGTGGCAGCTTATATCTTTCAACGTGTTCCTTCTTCATGAAAACAATTACACACAATTTCGATGTCTATGCATATATACAGGTACCAAAATGCTACGTACGCATTGTATACAAATACAAAGATGAAAATTAATATCTGAAGTTGTTTCTCTCTTTATTAATGGACGACATCAGATACGGTTAGTAGCTATAAATAACGAAATGTTTCTTAAATATTTGTTAAAAATCACCTGGAGTAGAAAAAATAGTTTCGCCTCTTTGTTAAAATCGACTTAAATCCGGTTAAGGCACGTTTACATATTAATATCCTTTGATTTTGTTCCACAACGGCACACTCTCAACTCGTAGTCCGATGAGAAGCATTAGAATTATCTATTAATTGTACGCATAATTAACACAGTCCTCTTTTCTTCAGAAGAACATCGATGCAGTTCGAATTCCTCAAAGCGATCGAACATTATTCATTGAATTTGAGTTTTTCGTTTATTGCTTGCTTCGTTTATCATTAATATTATTATTATCATGATCATTATTGTTATTAATATTATTATTAATATTATTATTATCATTACAAAAGGCACCTACCAACGAGAAATATGATATTAAAGATTACCGGCTTGCCTCCCTTTTATGTACACACTTTACGAAATTCATAAAATATCATTTTCGAATTTTAATATTTCCCTAAAACAACTGTCCACTTAGAATAAGGTTGAGTCTGATACGAGAAATTCACGTGTTTTTTTTTTTAACGTAGACATAACCCATATTTCGAAGATACTTCCATTATTTCTCTACTTAATTTGTTATTATTTAGTCAAACATTGAGCAATTTCTTCAGGAAACTTTTAGAGATTAAGAAAACATGATGAATTACGCGTAGAGATAAATTGCTGTAAATGGTCATGTCAGGTTCAGCCTTATTCGCAACGAACAGTATAGTCAACAAGATTTTAAATTAAAACGACAGTGATTACGAACACCACTCATCTCGATAATTCCAAGACACTTACAAAAATCGAATTCTCGTAGATGTCTTGAAATTGAATTGAATGTTCATTATCAGGTAGACCTTACAACTATACAGATTAAATTTTCAGCAGCCGAAGGTGAACAAATGCACACCATGCACATGAACATGAGTTTCTATTAGGTCGAGTCAGAAATAATGTCCGTTGTTTTATGAGACATTTATTTTGTTTTTTTTTACTTTTTGTTTTTTTTCTTTACTTTATTTATTTTCTACCCTTATTTATTCGGTGGAAGCAAAAATCCGTTTGTCCCAGTGACTCATAACACGATCAAGTAGTTTTTACCTAGCTGCATCGGAAGTTATTTATGACTCGACCAAATATTTCAGTTAAAACTTTATTCAGAAAATGCAATGTTTTTCGATTTAGATGAGTAAAAATGCACAGGGATCCTGGAGATTCCGCAGATCATTCGAAATAATTTTTTCCTTAGCAAAAATGCCCTCCGCGAATTTATTAATGAGTTATTAACGGAAAACACGGACCAATCAAAGAGCGAATATATATATATAGCGCCCCGCCCCAAGATAAGTGCGACTCCGCATTGGCTGCGTATCTTTCATTAATAATTTGTTAACAACGCCGCGGATAAAATTTTCGCAAAGGAAAAAGTTACTTCAAATCACCTCAGGGATCACCCCTCTTCAAAGGTTTATAACCTTGTAGATGTGAGTAAAAGTCACTATCTTTACTAGTTTTGTTCGAATGAAAAATTTTGCCCACCTCTGTCGCCAGGTCAATTTACTCGAATTGACCACTGCGAGATGAAAAACCAAATCAATTGTATCAGTACGTTCGATGCGAGAAACGATTTGACATGGAATAATGGCAATGACTTCCTGGATACGCAATCGGGAAGAAAAAACGGAAAGACGTCATAGGCAGTGCTGACTACCCTGAGCAAGTACTGTGTGCAGTAAGTACAGTTTGTCGTCGTCCTTGAAAACATCCGATTCTGACCGAAGTCGCGTTCAATTCTTCCTCCGTGCTTCTTGAGATCGACCCTGCGAGATTCCAGCTTTTGAGCGAATCTGTAACAGAGAAGACACACGTAAATCAACCTCAATTCATCATTGTAATTATATCGCTTGACGTGGCTTACTCGCGATGGTGATTTCTAATAATGACCTGTTAAGTATGACGATTATTCGGTTCTCTTCTGATCAATATTTAAGCACTCATGTAAATGAAATATGAAACAGGTTTCGAGAATGATCGAGTTATTTACTTGAGAATAAACGCATTGGATTATTGATCGCATGCATTTATTCAATAACTTTAATACTACATATTAACTTCTACATATAACGACTTCTTCTAAATTCTTAAATTTTTTTAATCTATCATTCAATCTTACTTTTAATGTATTTATTTATGAAAAAAGAAACAAGTTTTTTTGGTAGGTTTAACAAAAACTAGTAATATTTGGTCAGTTTTCGTTTGTTGTAAGTCGTCATTTAGTATCATTCCTAAATTTTGACAAGAGAAAAATCAAATTTTGCTTTGATTTAAATAGATATTAAATAGATTATACAAGAAATCTTCATGAAGAGTCTGACTCGTTGTTACAGTGCAAGGAATTGATGTATGAAACTGTAAAAGAAAGTAACAGAAGAAAGAAAATCGAATGAGTAAGAACTTTCCCCAACACCTAATGGACTTTCTGTGAATGAAACGTAGCTACACAACCCTCAGAAATCTTCCCTTTGAAATTTATTTCCGAAATCAGTTTCTGTATACTTATGATTTCAGGACGCTTTGGGGGAAGTAACCAGCACAAGGGATGCTTCAGTATAATGCTGGGACATCGAGCCATCTGGCTATTGTGTTTCTCCCGTCGCGGAGATTTTTATTTACCTGGATTGGTAAGAATTAAATACGTAAACGGACAAATCTTGTGGGCACGACCCTGAAGATCGTGGGAAAAACCGCTGTCTTCCGGAAAAGAGCGGGAAAATTCCCGAAACTCCGTGACGAAAATGATATTGCTTACGTGAAACAGGTTTTTGTGCACGTAAAATATACAGTCACTCATATAATGTTTGGACACCTTGGGAACTTTTTCAATTTTTGACAATACGAATGTTCTTGACACGTTACAGGGGCTAGTTTATTAGACAATGTTTAAACAAATTATTGAAATTAAGAAAAAAAGTAAAAAGATGATTTTTTTTAACTTTTTTGTCAGAGCCTGGAACGAAAATTTAAACAATACATTTTGTAGCACCAGAAAGTCTGTATATCGACAGAAGTTAACCTTTGATTGTGAACGACAAATTAACGATCGCTCATGTTCGTCATCATTAAATTGCGAATTTTATGCATTTATGGTAAATATGGCCGAGTGGGATTTAAAATAATGAAAAGATTAAAAGAAATTAAAAATAGGTATTTAAAGGTATTTAAAGAAGAAAAATAATTGCACTTGGCTCTTATGCCTTGCGATTGATACAGACGATTTTCATTTACATTTATTTATCCGCAGTATAGTTACCACAAACTATAATATATTTACGTTATACACATTACATATTATATCATATCATAATTATGTAAATTTGATTTGCCTTACATTATGTCTTCTTAACTCTCCCGAATCGAAAAATCATCCAATTAAAATGTTAATGATACCTACCTTTTATATTTACCGCAAGAAATCGCCTGATTGGAAAAATAATTTTTTGCTCTACTTGAATTTCTATACAATAATCTTCAGAAATGCATAATAGATGACAGAAACATAATAATTACGTTACGTTTATTAAGTATACAATTTAGTCAAAATAAATAAAAACTTTCACTACCTAGCGTACACGCTTTTCATTAAATTTCTAAATCAGTTCATTCCTAGTCAATGACTATTATAATTTGTTTCACGTTCTCTTAATAGTTCTGCAGAGACAAGAAAAAATAATTCATCATGTTTCTTCAACTGAAGGAACAAAATACCGACGTAAAAATAGATAAGTGGTTAAAATGATCGCCCGTTGTTCTTCTCCTTCGACTTGCTTCGTAACGAACAAAAAAATTTAAAGGACTGTCATGCTGGTAACCCGCATCCGTGCTATCTTATCAATAAACATTACCAGCATGGAAATGTGACTGCGTTCGCATCAACACTGACGCGCCAGTTCAGGATGATTATACGTACCGTAGATTAAACGTTTTCAGCACAAAACAAGAACACGAAGACTGGAATTTATCACGAGGCTATTAATATTATTGTGTGCCATTGTAAATGAATACTATAATTTTTTGGAATTACTGACGATATTTAGAGTTCCATGATTGTCTAAAGACACCAATAAATAATAATTATGTCGCCCAGTGCTAGCAATATTTATAATAACCATGTTACAATCGTCAGTTTCAAAACATTAATCCTTTAGCTGTGTATGACAAAGATATTCGTCATAAGCAGTCCTTATTTTCAAACAACGGTCTGAAATAAATTATTTCAAATACGTAGTTATTTTTTATATTTATTTCAAATAAAATCTGCCTAGGCCTGGTTGTAGGGACATTGCAAGTATTTATGTTGTAAAGTACACTCATTTGACTATTTCAATTATTATGAAACGTATTCGTACGGACATTTTAGAATAACTTTAAAACAGTTTGTAATAAAATGTGTGTAATATTTCTTGAAAACTAACCTAAACAGCTAAGAGGTTAATTATTTTGTAGAAGTAGTATCAAGTTGTGCTCTGTAAATATGTAGATTGCGGATAATAAACCTAATTTTAGAATCTTTTAATTTGGATCGATCGTCATTAATGTCTCCTTAATTACACTCGCAGACTATTCATATATTTACGATCATTCTACTCGAAAACTACTAAGTTTGTAAAAAATTATTATATAAAAAAAATTATTATATTATATAAATTATATTCTGGTAATGTAAAATTCGATTTACACTAAAAGTACCGAGGCCTAACTGCGATGAATTGTACAGTCGGTGTACAAAGCATTCGTTGTAACATTTTTATAATTTGGCCAAGCGATCTAAATTTTTTTAGGATGTCAGAGGGATTGGTGTACTAAACAGTGGCTAAAGATAGTTTACAAAATTTGCAATCGGTTTGCATGATGACAGAATTAAAAAATGGTGCTTTTCAACTTTTTTATCTGAACCTACAGCGAAAATTAAAAAATTGGATTTTGTAAATTTCGGCAAGATTACTTAAACTTCTTATTTAATACCTATAATTCTAAATTATGTGGCAAAATTCGATTTATTTTAATTTCTGCTACTTACAACTCTAATTCTAATAATTTTAAATTAAATTAATACTTATAATTCTAATTATACTCATTCTTAAACTTATTATAATATATACTTGAACAAAGAAATTACTTTAAAAATTTCTCATGGATTTGTAGAACATCAAGAATTGTAAAATAGAAAATCAGCCATTTTTACTGATTTGGTAGTTCTAGTATTAAGACAATATAATCAATATTGATATTATATTGATAATATAAAACAGTATAATTAATACTGATATTGTATTGATAGAAGACAATATAATTATTATTGATATTATATTGTGTAGAATGAACTGTAGAATGATGTTTATTCGTTTTGACAAAAGGCGAATCAATGTTGAAACAGTTCACACCGAACCATTATGAAATAAACGCGTTTAAAATTTCGACTCTGAATAATAAATTTGTCGATCTATTTCCTACAATTTATAATATAAGACAATGTAATTAATATTGATAATATAAGACAATATAAAAAATAAACTAAATAATAAATATAATATATATAATATATATAATAATATATAATAATAAATATAAAATAAACTAAAATTATTTAAATTTGTTGTGTTTGCAATAGACAAAGAGCTATCAGCAGCTCTATTCGTGTAGAAATTGATAAGTAAAGTTGATTCGAATAGTTGAGAAAGTATATTACACAATAGTATATTATCACTTCGTTAAAGGTTACAGAAATTGTCAAATTTTCGAAAGTTTTACACGCGATAACATAAACCACTACGTATTAAATGAATTAACGCGATGATCGGTTAACGGTGAAACTTAATCGACCACATTTTTGTCCGACCAAGACGAACACACTGACACGATTTCGTTACACTTTCCTGCAACAGCATCCATTACGATCGTCCGTGTAACATTTGTAACTATCATTTACAAGTAAATGTAATCGCGTGCTGTATGTCACGTGTCCCGAAGAAAAATATGGCCGATTAACGGCAGGGTTAATGCGTCGCTGTACTTTTACCAACCTCGAGAAATTTCACTGGGCGCACGGAACGACACGAGATCATTAGTTAAGGAAGAAATTTTGTCGTGTCGCTTCCGGCTTTTCGAGAAGTAATGGAGAATGATATTTTTAGTAATAATGTCGCCACAATATCGTAAATCACAAGCATTGCTCAATGTTTCTTCTTTTTTGACTGACGCAACACGCGCAAAAATCGCATAGTGTTCTATGAAAATCATTTAACTTTCTTAACATGGAACTTGTTCCAACAACCATTACACTATTATTTGAGAGTCGAACTAACTTTTTATATGTATAAGTAGTTTTAAATGTGTTAGAAATCATAATTATTTGAACATTTGTAAAATATAAATGAACATTTGCGTAAACGAAATAAAAGACATGTTTACATTCATTTTTATCAAAAAGAATGCTTTAATACGCAAAATCAAATTTTTTGTTCATTCTGTGCTCTACATATAAGATGTAATAATCCAAGAAAATAGCAATAAACATGAAGTTTCGCATTGCTAGCAATAATAGCCAAGATAATAAGAGCCAAGACGGATGTTGCCACAGGATATTATGATTTTTCTTAATTATATTAGCATCGATTATTTTCCTAATAATATAGCTTAAGAGATACCTTAAAAGAGTATCTAGAGATGCTCCTTGGTAACTAATTCTGTTTGAATTGAACAGAATGAAACAGAAGTGATGTATTATTTATTACTAGACTGCGGATTTTTATATAAAATAAAATTGCAAGAAATAAAAATTAAATGGCAA